CAACAGGTTAAAATTGGAAATAAAAGCCCAGTTTACTTAAATCATATTTTTACTTCGGAGGTGAAAGGTGTGGTAGCTTTACATAGAGTCAATGCTAATAAAATTGCGGTTGTCTTTAAACAATACAACACTGCAAATAATTTCATCACAAATACAGACTTTTTAACAAAGCACAACTTGAAGGCACATATTCCTGCAGCGCAGATAGAAAAAACTGGAATCATCAGATATGCGCCTACCAGCATTTCGAACAAGGATTTATATACGAAACTGTCTTCGATCTATGAAATTATTTCAGTGAGAAGATTCACGAAAAAAGTCGGTCAAAGTACTGCAGGTCTCGAGACTGTCAGTATAACTTTCTTGTCAAATATTCTGCCCGATAACGTCCAATATGACCTATTTTCGTTCAGGGTGTTTGAATATGTCCCGCCGTTACAGCAATGCTTCCGGTGCTTCAGGTTCAACCATCCTGCGAAAATTTGTAATGGTAAACAACGTTGCTCGATATGTGCTGGGGAACATAATTTCAGAGACTGCGATAAAAAAGAGAACCTGTGTTGTGTCAATTGCAGTGGCCTTCACCTGGCTATTTCCAAATCTTGCCCAATAAAAATGAAAAAAATACTTGAAAAAAAGGGTAAAATTACTTATGCCTCTGTTGCAAATACAATTACGTCATCTGATTTTCCGTCTTTACCGGCACAGTCGAACAGCATTGTTAAGAGCCTACCATCAATAAGCCAAAATGTACATAAATTAAATAAAAATGTAAAAATTGTAAATAAAACAGTGCCTGAACCCAACTTGAACCAAACTCAACTAAAGGCTCAAATTGCAAACAATAAGAATATTCTGATGGAAATGGTTCAAACTTTGGTTGAATTGGGTAATAAAACAGATAATGAACCTGTGACTACTCTGTTCATTAAAGACTTACTTTTAAAAAATCTGTCACATTAATGGACAGTACAGTACAGAACATACAGCAGTTATGTATAGCTCTGTACAATATTCAAAGTATACATAGGAAAAAACCCTTACTGTCTAAATTCTTAGCTGAACAAAATGTCGATATATGTCTACTCAATGAAACTTGGCTTAAAGATACTCAACATTTTAAAATTTCGGGATATAATTCCCACTATCATAATGCTCAAAATGAGCATGGTGGAGTAGCAATTTTGATCAAACCGTATTTTAAATATAATATTATTCACACCAGATTTTACCAAGATATTCAGACTATAGCATTATTGTTATATGTAAGTGGTAAACACTTAACGATTCTATGTGTATACTGCCCTCCCTCGAATGGTAACTTCAGAATAAGTAAATTGCGTAATATAATTAGAGATTTGCCTAAGCCAATATATGTGGCTGGAGATTTCAACGCTCATCATGTGGCATTTGGATGTATGACCACGAAAAGTCGGGGTCATCAATTATACGATTTAATTGATGAATTTGATCTGTGTGTCCTTAACAATGGAAGCTTCACTACTATTAATTATCCTAACCGAAATCCTTCAGCTATTGATGTCAGCTTTTGTAGTGCTCCAATCACTCCACTATGCGAATGGTGGGTGCATGATGATTGTATGGGTAGCTATCATTTTCCTACGCTTACTCGTGTTTTATTGTCCGTTGATAGATACCAAATTAATCCTCCCATTGAAAAATTCTTATACAACAAGACAAACTGGACGAAATACAATGAGCTGTCTATAACTGCTTTTTCTAATTTTGAAGTTAATAATGAGAATCCATTACAGTCATATGACGAATTTATCGAAAGACTTGATACACTTAAGAGGGATACTGTACCAAAGTTTGTCAAAGCAAATAATTATCGTTGCAAACCTCCAGCACCTTGGTGGAGCGACATATGTGAACAGAGTGTTATTAAAACTTATGAAGCTTTAAAACTGTACAGAAGGGATCCAACCATTGATAATTATATTAATTACAAAAGACTTAATGCTGTTAAGAAAAAGATTATTTCAGAACATAAACGCAATGGTTGGGTGAACATCTGTAATACTTTTAACAGAACTACACCTGTTAATATTATTTGGAAATACATCAAGTTATTTAAACTAATAAAATGTAATAATAGAACATATAAAGATGAATTTGTTGTCCCTCTCTTAGAAAAATTATCTCAAAATGGATGTAGGGTTATTGATAATCTAGAAAGTTATTTTCAAATTAATAATAGCCTTCAGAAGTCCAGTTTCCTCATAGAACCCTTTACTTGGAGTGAGTTTTGTACAAGTTTACAATCCAGACGAAACACAACCCCTGGTTTAGATGATTGTCCATACATTTTGATTAAAAACCTAAATCAGTCCATTCAAAAAAAACTATTAGCTAATCTTAATGCTCTTTGGCACTAAAAAAAAATTCCTGAATCTTGGAAAACACAGTGTGTAATCCTTCTACTTAAGCCTGACAAGCCACCTGAAGATCCTAATTCGTATCGTCCCATATCATTGTCATCTTGTGTTGGAAAACTTAATCAAAACATGATAAAGATGCGTCTTGAGTATTACGTAGAGGCGAACAACATCATTCCACATGTTCAATATGGCTTCCAGAGAGGGCGAAGTTGTGCTGACAGCTTCATCTCTCTCTTTTCAGATCTGAAATATGTCAATAATAATAATAAGTCTAGTGTTTGTGTTTTTTCTGGATGTTCAAGGTGCGTTTGATAATGTTGAACCTGATATTTTGGTTCAAGTTCTTTCTGACATTGGTATACCAGGCATGCTTTGTCATTGGTTATTTAATTTTTTAACAGATAGAAATTTGTATATAAGATATAATAATATTCTCCATGGTCCCAGAAAGGTCTCCAAAGGTACAATGCAATGCAATCAAATTCTTAATTTTGTAAATATAGAAGGTGTAAATATTCTACAATTTGCGGATGATCTTGTAATATATTGTACAGACCAAAATGTAGATAGAGCTGTAAATAATATAAATAATGCTTTAGACCAATTGTACATATATTATAATGACAGGTTGGCTCTAAAGATTAACCCCAACAAAAGCAAGGCCATGATTTTTAGTAAAGATTTCCCCTCTAATGGCATACTCTACAATAATCATCCAATTTCAGTTGTACCTAACCATAAATTCTTGGGTGTTGTCGTTGATAACAAACTTTGTTTTGATTTACATATCAATCACATTATAACTAACTCTCTTAAGGGTTTAAATATTATAAGATGTTTAGCTGGTGTGACTTGGGGTGCAGACCCCAAAGTTTTAAGTATGCTGTATAAATCTATAGTCAGAAGCCACTTCGACTACAGTTGTTTAGCCTATACAAATAGTAGTAGTGTAAAAAAACTAGACATAATTCAAAACAAAGCTCTGCGAATTATTACTGGGGCTATGTGTTCAACTCCCATACGAGCTATGGAAGTTGAAACCAAAATAATGCCACTGTGTCTCAGAAGACTTCTACTAATAGAGAGATACTTACTAAAGCTGTTATCTGGTAATGATAATGTTCTCAAAAAAAATAATACCTTTTCCTGTACAATCCTCGGCACAGCAGACTTCGGGAGGTGAGCTTTTACGAGGTTATTTCCCAGTATTGCCTCTCATTGTACTACAAATGAATGAAGATTTTAAAAATGTAATTAAACAAGCAAAGTGGACATGCTACTCTTACCCATATTCCTGTATTATATTTGAGACCAATATTGTTACTAAAAAAATTTTTAATAACTGTGAATTATTAAGTTTTCTTTCCGATAATAACTACTATACTTTGTATACAGACGGTAGCAAAAGTGAGCTCTTTGTGCGTAGTGCTGTCTATGATCCCCAATCCAAGATTGGTCAAAGTTTTGCTTTTGGATCCTAAATGCAGTGTTTTTACTGCAGAGGTTATGCGGCCCTCGAGGCCCTGAAGAGGATCGCACATATAAATAGTTTTAATAATTTTTTAATTTTAACAGACAGTTTAAGTATGGTCCAAAGTTTAACCAATCTCAGATTTGACTTTAAAAAAAACTATATTTTGTATAATATTAAAAAGTTGTTATTTATGGTGGGGGGTTTTTTTTTTTTTTTTTTTTTTTTTTTTTTTTTTTTATTTTGGGGGGTAAATTTGCTTGTTATGCACAAAAGGGTATACAGGTCTCTTTCATGTGGATTCCATCACATAGGGGCATAACAGGAAATGAGATAGTAGATAAAATTGCACGTGATGGAACCAACATGTTGGATGTTAGCTCCATAGTAAAAGTACCTTTGACCGACTGTTATGAATCTATTGACCACCAGGTCAATAGCTTATGGGTCGAATTTTGGAAACAAGACCAAGAACAAAAGGGTAAATGGTATGGAAATGTTCAAGAAAATCTGCCTGTAACACCATGGTATAACAAACTGAAAATGACCAGTCGGGACTTTATTACGACTATAAACAGACTGCGTTTTGGTCACTCCACCGTCCCGGCCCACCTGGCTCGGTTGGGCATAATGGAGAGCAGCTACTGCACCTACTGTAATAATTCTGTTGGTGATATCGAACATTTCATATTTATATGTGAGTGCTTTTCATTTGACAGATTGATTCTTGTGTTGTTCGTCAGTGAAATAAGTGACATAGTGCAAAATCAAGTGACAGTGCAAGATCCCTCCCGCCGCCTGAGTGATATGTTAAAAAATAGATCCTATTACGTGCCTCTATATAAATTTATCAAAAATACAGTGGGGAAATTATAATAAACCGAATAAAAATACTCAAGACTTGGCCTAAAGGTCTAGATACCAGGCCATAAACTCCAAAAAAAAAATATATAATACTCTATCTATGGCTGAATTTGAATTACGAACGTCAGTTTTGGTCAGATAATCAGTTTTATAATTTCGGTTGAAAAACGGCGACTAGATAGTGTAGTATACGAGAAGTTTTTGTTTTGTAAGCTAACGAAACCATAATATTTTACTTCGTGAAAGTATATTGTACTATGACCATGAGTAATGAACTGGGCGACGTGTCGGAACTTGAAAATATAATAATGAACCATGAAGCTTTCGGAAAACCGTAAGGAATATTTTTTTATTTATTATTTTTAGATATTACAAATATCTGACGAGCTACACGAGTAAAAATTCCTTTTCAGGTACAAGTGGTCTCCTAGAGACTTCGAGCTAGGTTCTGCACTTGGGCGTGGTAAATTTGGAAATGTACACGTTGCAATAGAAAAAAAAACTGGCTACATGGTCGCTATTAAAACTTTATTCAAGTCACAGATAGTAAAGTCAAAATGTGAACGACAAGTAATGCGAGAAATTGAAATTCAGTCTTCACCTAAAGTAAATACGTCATACATTTTCACATGAATATAGATTTTCTGTCTTAAATTGTTCTTATGAATTCTAAAAATATATTAACCTGTTAACCAAGCCTAGCTCACATTCGATCGCGCAATACCAACCTTAGCCCGCCAGTGTGATTTCTTTTTGTGTCACTTATAATCAAAAATTTGTGTTAACTTTACAGACATCCAAATATTTTACATCTGTTGAGTTGGTTCCATGATGAGAGACGCATTTACCTTGTTGTGGAGTTTGCTGCTGGTAGAGAATTATACAAACACCTCACAAGCGCACCTAACGGCCGTTTTACAGAAGCAAAGGCTGCTAAATACATTTATCAAGTAATTGCCCTATACCTAACATAATTTTTAATAAGTCATTCAGATTAATAAAAAAATCTGAAATATTTATGGAACTATGACAGAATCCTCAATTAATAATTCTTATCCATGTAATAATGGTTTAACACAATTTGAAGAAAATTGTGTTAAAACCTTATGTATTAACTAAGTGATATGCTATATATATACTATACTATTATGTGGCTACTTAAAAGAGATATTAAATAATTACCAATGTTGTTTCCAAAACACTTGCTTAGTGTACAAAGTACTATGACAAGTATTACAGCTGTGAGCCAGCATCTAGGTAGCATAAGTTCAACAGTGGACTTTATATTGACTGTAATAAATTAGTTTAATGTGGTAGAGCTATGCTGCATCTGTATTGTGGTTGTCGCATGAATGTGCTGGCTCGACGGTGGTAGGACCATGCTCTCACAGAATACCAGTGTAAAATAGCAATAATGCTTCCGTGTTTCCTATGGTGAGTGTTGAGAACCAGGAGACTCGTTTTATCAGAGGCGAGGCATTCCATCTTAGTCCTCAGGGGTGACAATGCATCTGCATTTTGATTCTTAATAGAGTACAATTGTAGATGTCTATGGGCCACAGCATTCACTTACCATCAGGTTGACTGCGTGCTTGTTTGCCACTCTTGTTCTATTTTAAAAAATACTTACATTTTCTTGTTTACCAGCCTATAGAAATCAACTGCTCTGTCTGTTTGTTACTATAATCTCATCTTTTTATGATATGTTGGTAAATATTTATATTTTGACTAAATATTATAGTAACTAATCACATGCAGAACAATAGCAGCAGCAACTTTTGTATATTTGTTTATCTTCTGGATTTTCATTAGGTGTGAGTATTCATGGTCACACTCGGACACAAGCCTCTTGGTCCGAGGTTTCTTGGGCAGGATCTAGTGAAAGCACTCATGCAAGAGTGTACAACTGCTATTACACATTTTTGTTTTAGTTAACTGACTAGTTGTGAAAGTAATAAAATTTCAGGTTACAGATGCAGTTGAGTATTGTCATCAACACCATGTTATACATAGGGATATTAAACCAGAAAATATTTTAGTTGCTTTAAACGGTGATCTCAAACTTGCTGACTTTGGCTGGTCGGTGCATGCTCCTTCGGAAAGGTAGGTTAATCTGCATTTTATTTATTGTAAAATGCAATTGTTTTCTGGTCTCTGACACTAAATTCTAGCCTACCCCTAATTATGTCACTATATGTTTGATATGTGGGGGACTTAAAATAAGTGACAGCCCCTGTATTCCTACTTGCACTTATGCTGTACTTTAACATTATTTGAGGCATTATTTAGCTTCTGACTTGACTGTTCATTATCACTTTTGTCGACATTTACAAGGGATACAGCATTATAGCAGTCAAAAATCTTGGTATTTTTTATCTTTTAGACGGAAGACTATGTGTGGAACCTTGGACTACCTACCACCCGAGATGATAAGAAGAGAAATTTATGATGTATCAGTTGATCACTGGTGCATTGGAGTGTTATTATACGAATTCCTAGTGGGTAAACCACCATTTGAGAGTGAAGGCCAGGACAAGACATATTCAAGAATTCTTGCTGTAGACATGACATACCCTGAACATGTCTCAGAAGGTGCTAAGGATCTAATATCTAAGGTATTATTTTAATATAACCACATAAAATTGCAGGTCTTAAAGTAGCAGGTGGTGTGAAACAGCATTTAATTGTTCATAACTTCTTAAAAAATTCCATTTTTTTAAGCTGAAATGACAAAGGCTTAAAAAAGATTTCTAAGTTCTATGTGCAATCAGTGACTGCATTATAAACAGATGTTCTCAACCATTTTCGTTTTGAGAGTAAAAAACCCTAATTAGTATAAACTATGAAATACAAAATCTAGGTAAAGAGGGTAAGGCTGGTGGCTAAGGAAAGTAATTGTGCATAGCATGAACTTGATTATTTTTCTTTAGGATCTAACATAAAATTCAGTGTTAATGTTTCTTTTTCAGCTTATCTCCTATCAAAGTAAAGAAAGGTTGTCCAGCTAAGGTGGCACAGATTATAATATACAATATAAGATAACGAAATAGAAGCACAGTAGTCTTAATTCTTTAGTATATATTTATATACTATGATCTTATTACACCAACTAAGCTGGAGTGTATCAACAATGGTGTATAGTTCTGTGGTCCTCACACTCAAATTGACCCTGGGTTGACGAGACGTACAATTATTAGATTACGTAAGCTTTTCTTTAAATAAAATAAAGTAAAACAAATCAATATAAATGCAAACATAACTTAAACAGGGTAACCTAATATGTTGGTAAATAAATCAAATAAACGCAACTTTAACTTTAAAGTTAAAAACATGTCGAGGATTACATTATTCCACCAAATACATTTCAGTTCATAATTAGCGTAAGCAAGTAGCGTAGCTTAGCAAAAGCAAAAGAACTTTATAATACGGCGATCAACTGTGTGTTTTAAAGTACTGGAGAACTAGACTATAAATAAAAAAATTTGAAATATGTGAAGAATTTTATTCAATAGAAATTAAAACTCATCAAAATTAGGAACTCTCATTGCAACTCTATCATGATTTTGGTCACAAAGTGTACCCGTATAAGTAATGTCAATTCTTTAATGTCTTCCTTTCAAACCATCATTACTCGTTTTCTTGTTTGTTTATTTTTATTTTCCTTTTCCTCTTCCTATTTACATTTCCATCTCTGTATATCACTTACTATGAACGGGGTGTCTCTTATTACCATGTTTTTCGACATCAAGGATCGACCAGTTCAGTAAAATCAATTGGAAATTCCCAAAAAGGTCGTCCTAATAAATAAATTCCATTTCTGTGCTCCTTTTCTTTTTATATTCTTTTAGTTGTGTGAGTTGTTGTAAAGCGTAGATGCACAGACCGCGGCCCGCCGGTCGAATACAGGTGGCCCGTCGACAGCAAAAATAATACTCTCGTACATTCGAAAAATATTGAATTATATTCCAGAATAAAACCAAAAAAAAAAATATGTTCGAAAAGTAATTTGGATCTCGCGCGTGCGCTTATCGGTGCGCCGTGCATGCGTCGGCCGGTAGGGTTAGGGATCTCTATCAGACATATATACATACTCAAGAAATTATACTCAAGATTATGCAGATGCACATTTCTTTAGAATGAGTTTATTCTATTGTGGACTCATACTGCTGGATATTTAATAGTAAATTTTGAATAACTGCGAACATACACTTAGCAACTTAATTTAATTTTTGTAATAAATATCTGTTGTACCAAACAAATACAAGTTACACTACAAAGCTCCATTTCTTTTATGAAATCGAAAGGAAGCGTGGAGAGTATTGAATCCCAAAAATTAAATATGAATTTGTAGTACCTCTAAGGTATCGGCAACGGTAAGGCCCTCAGCTGCTTCATGGCCAATAAATGCCATTAGAGATTCCTCCGTGGCAGATAAGGGTGCAGGTCCAGGCCCTCCACCAGTCTGCTGCTGAGCACAGTGGATTTTGGCAGCTTTAGCTTTAACGTCACTGCGCCAGTCTTGCCAACACTATCAAATATTTGCAATAATAAAGGTTAGAATGCACATTTATAGGCATACATAACATAGTTCGCTTTAACACATTCATCACCCCTACGATTTTCACGATGTCTTCTCGGATTCCGCCTACATTTTACGGTTGACTCGATAGGCGAGTCGCCGGCACTGCAATATAAATTGATCGACTCGCCACGCGAGTTCACTGGCACTACGTAAGGGTAAATTCTATGGTTTTGTAATTTTTGTGGCCGTCACAGTGTACTTAACGTGTTTACGCAATTAAAAAGTGTTTCCGGACTATTCGGCTTGTAAAAATGTCTCTTGGATACAATAAAAGGAACTCTTTGGATAAAATAAAAAGTAAGTTTGTTTCGTAATTTGAGCAGTGGTTGTCAACCTTTTAAATTGTGGTTATTGTTAAGGTTATATTTTGAATTTCTAATACTTGTGAATAGATAATTTTACCCTGAAATTATTTAATACGAGCTTTCAGTTTTAAGAATATAGTATCAGATTAAAATGTATTATTTTGGGTCGGCTTTAGTAATCTGCTGCAAGATTTAAGTGACTATTTTAGCTTTAGTTGACAGGCAATGATGCTATTGATTACCATTTAGCTGCTTTTTATGCCGGAAATCTTTATTTTTCGAGATATCGATAGTTAAAGTTTTGAGGTTATATCGAGTTGGCTAGACATCCGGTACTTGATTTTGATTAATTAAATTACATATAACGAAACGCAAATATTATGTCAGTTTGTTTTTTTAACACAGATACACTCATAAAAAAGTTAATTACTCAGACCCAAACAATCCATTTGTGGCTGGAGATGGGACTTATATACAACAAATTGAGTTGCAGTGGAGACCCTTTTTTTATTTATTTTCAACCCTATTACAAAGACACAAGATTTATAATATGGCTGCTAGATATTTTATCTCAAATATTACGATAACTTTGTATTACTAAATCTTGTTTTAAAAAAAATAATGTCTTGATAGTTCTTCCTAGGACAGAGGCTTTATTCCAAACTGGTGGTAATCAAACAAAAGTGACTTTCGATAAGTAACACATAAACACTCACGCCTGTCACCCAGAGAGGTAGGTAGAGACTACGGACTTCCATTTGGCACGATCCTAATTATTCTAATGAAACTAGTTTGTTGTATATTGTTCCATATCACAAGTATGTAGGTAGTCCATGCTACTATGTTCACGTCGTTGTCTAACATGTCAAAGGTTGAGGATCTATGTCAGGGAACTCGCCTAGCGAGTTCAAGGCATTGCAGAATAGTTTGTTTCCTTTCAAATTTAAACGGGGTCTCCACACCCGGCCCACCACGTAAATCTTTAGTTTAGCATATATTTAGTCTAAACTATAATTTTAAGCAGAAAATACGGATGCATTTTGGAAATATTAGTGAAAAACACTGAACTCGCCAGACGAGTCGTCGGCACTGGAATATAAGATTTACGTGAACTCTCCGGGCGAGTCGGTGGCACTGAATGTGTTAAGCGACCCACTAAAGTAGCACTACAATATGCATGAACTTGTAGCACCTAAACACAGACATACCTTTATCCATTTCTCTGAGTTTTTTTTGTTGCTCCTGTGGCACAGCCGTTTAAGATTGTGGCTAGTTGAGTCTGCATTTTTAATTTCCTATGGGCTGCATATGCGCCTGCAACCCGATTTCTGGCAAAATCGGGATGCGCCACCATAAATTCGAACATTTTTTTCACGCTGCTCGTAGGAACTAGTGATCTTTTTTGCTAAATACAAAAAAAAATATATCTAAAATTAGTTTCAATGAAGACTAGACTAAATAGGTAAAACTTTTAATGTACATTTGCAATCGTTGTTTTTAAATTTCTTTGCTCACAAAAGTATGAATATATTTTTAATAATCAACAAGTTATTACCTACATACCCATAACCAACTATACAACAAAATTTGACAAACTGTCGCTGCGTCGTGGACACTAAAATGTAAACTGCCTACCTACCTGCCTAAGTACGTCGGTACTAAGGAAACAGTCTTGACGGGTCACTTGTCGTGATAAAAACATGTGTTTACATCTAGTGATATTGTGTGTATATAAAAAAAGTAAGAAGACAGGTAAGTATTTTTGAAAACAATTTATAGGTAGGCAGAACTAATTACAATTATTATCTAAATATTATAAATGCGAAAGTTTGGATGGATAGATGTATGTTACTCAACGATATTTGGTACTAAAATCAAAGAAATCAAGATGTAACAAATAACTTGAATAGCTCTACTCACCACGGCAATTTACTTTATTTATTTGTTTATATCACACAAAAAAAGATTTAAATTTAGTGACAACCACAAAGTAATAACTAATATTGACTAATATTTACTATACTCTTTGAATAACTAATAAGATGTGTTTCCCACAGAGTACTTTGTATATACTGAAACCAAAGAGTATAATAAGTATATACAGGAAAAGAGAGCCCTCTGACGACATTTTATTGCAGACAAAATTGAACTACTAGCGCCTCCTACAAATTGAACCCGAACTAATTCGTTATATATAGCACTACATATACCTCTTCTATAGTAGTAAAATGTATAATATACATACTGAAACAGTTTTACTGCTTACTTTTTGTAATACTGTTTTTGATATTATTAAAAGTAGGTAAAACAGTTTCAGTAAGTACACTGGTATTTATGGGGTATTTGCAATGAAACAAGAAAGATAACGATGACCACACGCAAAAAGTAGCCACCATTTTGACTTTCATTTTCGTTTCAATATTTGACGTTTTGAAGTTTAGGGTGGCCAGTATCATAATTATCATAATCGATTAATTTCATGATGTTTAAGTTTTTATTTTATGTGAAAATTATATTTGTTATAAACAAAATCACCAATAAATTTATTGTGCATTTAATTTTATTTTTAAGCTAATTTTAGTTTCTTTTTAAAAGTAGCGACATCTGTGAAGACCTTAGACCAATAATAAACATAATGTTTTCGGAAACAAATTATGGATGGCGCTACATTCAATTGAATTCTTGTGGTCCAAGGCAACTGTCCTACCCCTGACTGAAACTGGTGTTTCCGTTTATATAATAATAATAATATAATAATAATAATAATAATCATTTATTCAAATAAAAGTACAATAATAGAGTGAAGACTCTGATTCCCAAACTAGACAAACTAGACAATGTGTTATATGTAGGTTGATTCTCTGTCTACTAGGCATGCGACCGATATATCAAAACGTAACTAATAACGTTATGTTATCAAATATCATATCATATCGATAAACCTAAGTACAAATTCGTTATCACATATTCCACCAAAACCATATACCTAACCAACGTACGAAAACGAAACCGAAACGCATAACGCAAACTGTGTAGTTTAGTTTACGACGGGCTGTTTTCCGCAACTCCACGTCTAAGCGCGTATTTTGCGTGTGGGCAGGAATAATATAAGAGCCATGTCCTGTGATAGCACTTGTTACTATCCTGATCTGTGGCTTGTTCAGTCTCATTAGAACCTTGGTTAGACGACTGTTTATTTCAGGTAGGGCCTCCCTAGCTTGTCTACAGTCTACTAAATTTTTCTAAAGCTGAGCGTGTAAATTATTGAAGTATCTACGTACCAGTGAACGAACGTATCCAAAGGGGATTGGTATTATTGGTTCCGGCCCTATAGTTGCTAGGGCGGATCCTCTTCTGGCCAGTTCATCTGCTGCATCGTTGCCTCTAGATCCACTGTGTCCCTTGATCCATTGCAGAGTCACATTGTTGTGCTTACATACCTCATTCAATCGTTGATGGCACTCGTATGTCAGTCCCGAGTTCGTCACATTGCAACTCAGAGCTTGTAGTACCGCCATACTGTCGGTCAGTATTCTGATGGAGAAGTCTTTCACCTTCCTAGCATCTATTGCTATGGCCGTTTCGATGATACCTATGCATTCAGCCTGGAAGACTGTGTTGTGGGTACCCAGCGATGTGCATATGTGGATATTAAGGTCTTCAGAGGAAACCCCAGACCCCACACCTTCATTTTTTTTAGAACCATCCGTGAAAACTTTGAGCTTTCTTGGACTCAATCCTTCCAGATGGTCAGTTTCCTTCAATTGTATCCTGTACTTCTTATCGAATTTGGGATCCTATCATATTTGGCTTGTAAGATAGGAATTTTCGAGTAAATTCTATCGATTATATCTGTATGGGGGACTCTACTCTTACTTAAAAGATTTAGGGTCTTGAGTCTAATGGCAGCTAAAGTTGCTTCTTGTTGTATATGTAGACGAAGCGGTGTTAGCTCCAGCATAGCCTCCAAAGCTGCTGTTGGTGTTGTCCTTATGCAGCCCGTGGCAGCCATACAAGCTAATCTCTGGTAACGCTGAAGCTTTTGTATGGTGGTGGCTTCATTGGTTTTAGTCCACCATACCAGAGAGCCGTATGTGATCATGGGCCAAATTACGGTTTTGTACAGCCACAGTATAATTTTTGGCGTTAAACCCCATCGTTTGCCAATCATGTTTCTGCACTGCCAGAAAGTTAAACTAGCTTTGCTGATTTTGTTTTCTATGTGTTTGTTCCAGTTAAGTTTACTGTCCAAGGTAAGACCTAGGTATTTTACCTCGGAAGAAAGTTGGAGTTTTGTGCTGAAAAGACTTTGAAGATGATAGTTATTCAGCATTCGTTTTTGTGTGAACATTACTATAACCGTTTTATTTGGATTAACGGTTAGGTCATATTCCCTGCACCATCTTTCCACAATACGGAGAGCCGCTTGGGTCAGGTCGCACACAATGCTTGCTGTCTTACCAGAGACCAGTATTGTCAGATCATCTGCATAACCGACTGTGTAGAAATGATTAGCGTTTAATTTTCTGATGAGTTCATTAATGACCATATTCCACAGGAGAGATGAAAGAACCCCACCCTGCGGGCATACTTTCATGATCTGAATTGTCTGAGATTCATCAGCAATCTTTATTGTTCGTGTACTGAGCATGTTTACTATCCAGTCAATCAGTGTCGGTTCAACATTATGTCTACTTAGGGCACCTTTTATGCTGGAGAAATTTGTTCTGTCAAAAGCACCTTCTATGTCTATGAAGGAGCCTAGACATATTGCTTTGTTTTGGATGGCCTCTTCAATATTTGTTATTACCTGGTGAAGTGCCGATTCTGTTGATTTACCTAAGCTATAGGCGTATTGTTTTTCGTGTAGCGGGAAGTTAATTAGCACCGACCCTCTCAACTCCCGTTCTCACATCCTCTCCATTGTCTTTAGGAGAAAGGATGTGAGGCTAATAGGTCTGTAGGATTTAGGGTCTGTATAGTCGTTCTTACCTGGTTTGGGTATGAACGTGACTTTCACTTCCCTCCATCCCCTAGGAACATATTTAAGAGCCCGACATGCTCTCATTATGGCAACAAGTCTGACTATTAGGACTTTACCCCCCCACTGAAGAAGTGCCAGGAATAAGCCGTCAGGTCCTGCTGCCTTATAGGGTTGGAAACTATGAATGGCCCAATGGATTTTGTCCATCGTCACCACTCTTTGTGCTAATTCCCAGTCTTCTTTTGTTGGTGTCAGTGCATCTTCATGCCGGTTCACCCTTTCAACTACACAGCAACCTGGGAAGTGAGTATCAATCAGGATGTGTTGGGTTTCATCCGGCGATGTTGAGTAGCTTCCGTCGGGTTTCTTTAAAGAGATAGATCCCGGCGTGTTCTGTTTAGCTAGGATTTTCCTTCCGATTTGCTTGTTCACAGGTTTCTACGCTACCACATATTCCCCCTTCCACCCGGACCGCTGAGTAGTTCAGACGTGTTACATACACTAAATCCCTATATTTTTTTTATTATAAATATTTAAATTAAAGTTTCTATTACGAAAATTGAGTTAAAAAAATAAGAGTGCATAATTAAGAAGAGTTTGCGACCCGGCGCCGGTAGATTGCCGTGCTGACTCATACGCTGCATCAACGCCGCCCATCTTTGTCCTGCTACCCGCCCCCAGAGGCGTCACGAAGATCAACCAATCCTCTACGCTTGTAGGAGGTACGTGTTAAGTGTGCAGCGCTCCTAGTGCCTTGGCTTAGTCATCTTTTGTGCTTACTAGCTGCTCACTGCGGCGAGACTTATACTTCCCTGGTACTTGTACGCTTAAACAGTTGCGATGCCACTAAAACGGTCGCCGCCGATAAATCCGTCGACGTCACGTAGTCCTTCATTACAGCACTGTGACTCGGAACCAAATTTAAAATCAACAGAATGTGAAGCTTACATCAACACAGCGGTTCGAAAGAGAAAATTTTCCAGTAACTTGTCTGATGAATTCTCCGCCATTCAGGATAAGTTTACTGACATGTTTATGTCTCTCAAGAGTGAACAGGACTCTAAATTAACAAAAATCTTAGATTATGTCGGTAATATTAAACAACAAAATGATGATATCAGGGAATCTATTACGTTTATGTCTGAAAAATATGACACTTTATTGTCGAGTGTACAAAGTTTACAAGATGAAAATAAAGCATATCGTAAGCGTATAGAAATGTTGGAAAGAAAAAATTTAAGGGCTTGAAAGATCTTCA